TTAGGGTTTAGGGTTTAGGGGTCTTAAGGTCTTACGGTTTAGGGTCCAGGGCTTGGAATTTAGGGTTTAGGGCTTAAGTAGGGATGACTTTCAAGCTTTATGCCAGGCGCCTCTGCTGCAACCACGCGGTTTTCGGCCATCCACTTCTGCCCGCGAGTCACTTCCTCGGGCTATTTGGGTACTCTAAACCCTTAAACCCTAAACCTCATAATAACCCATAACCTAAACCCTAAACCCCTAAACCATTACGGGCTTCCGAGCTTTCGTTCTTTGGGGCTTTAGGGCTTGAGGACTTCCGAATTTCGGGCTTTGGGGTTTTGACAATTTGGGCAGTGAAGGCCTTCCGGCTGTGGGGGCTGGGGCTCAGGACTTTTGGGGCTTTACACTTGAGGATGATATGATTAATGGGAGTACTACGAATTGTTCACATAACAAACCAAAAACTGCTAGTGATGACTCTAAGGCACTAAACAGCCCAAAGTAGGGACTGCTTGAAGACTTTAGACCCCAAAGTATTATCTATAGACCGTAGATTCCCAATATACTATTCATAGACTTTAGACCCCAAAGTAGATACGATTGGTATGCTTTTCAGTCTTAGGGTTGTGCAAACCCTAACCCCAAAAGCCCTACATCCTCAAGCCATCAAGTTGCCCCGAAGCCCTAAACTCTTTGACAGGACCCCAAGAGCCCTCCCTACGGACCTACGCCCATCGGTCCTGACAGCCTGGTTCCAACGTGTGACATTCCGGGCTGCAGGCCTGTAAGCTGGTGACTGTAGGATCGTGGGACAGTATACTTGGGGGCTGAGTACCCTGGCACCAAAAAGGTTGACCTTGTATATCATGGTAGGATGAAAAAGCCCCAAAAGGAAAAGGTTACCTACTCACGGCCTAAGCAAAATGTCTCGAAGTTCTTAAGCCGCTTCCGCGCGAGTCTTTCCTGTGCCTACGACGGTGGATACCACTCCCCACTCCCTGTCTAAGTTGATGTTCACAGAATTGGAAATACTCGTGTCTTTAGGGCCGCAACATCCGAAACGGTGGCGCAAAGCCTAGAGGGCTCTAGGACCCGAAACCCCTAGACCCTAAGGACCGCACCCGTCGCAAGGCTCCATGGTAGGCCATAGTACCGCAGTAGATGCACAGCATTGTTCATCAGGGCCTGCCGCACTCTCTACCTTAGGGACTTTTCAATTATAGTAGGATTATATCAAGCCCAGAAGGTTAAAGGTTACCTACTCGGCCCCTAAGCTCCACTCGACCACCGAGCCGAACACCAAACCCTGAACCGAAGTGAAATCTCAGCTCGTAAAGTGGCGAAGACATCTTTCAACCGATATTGCGAGTAAGCAAGCAGCACTCGTCCTACCGGGAGAAATCCTCAGAATTATGCAAACGACCACGTAGCTGTGATATACATGCACACTGCTGCTGGCAGTGGCGGCGGTGGCGGTTATGGTGGTGGTGATGATCGTGGTGGCGGTAACCGTGGCGGTAGTCGTCGTGGTAGAAGTTGATGGCAGTGGTCATCGTCGCAGCAACAGCAGCACCCGAGCTAAGCACCACGTCGCACTTCTGACATTCTAGATTGTAGAATTTCTGTCTTCAGGCAGACTGAGGCTATGGCCTAAGCCGAGAACTGCAAGCACCATCATGTGGGTGTCCTCGAAGACGCTGAAACCTGCCACGGCGTTAAAAGTTAATCCATCAGGTGCCTGAATGGTTCCCCTGGGGTTCCGGGGTGTTCCATGCTGCCCATCAGGGCGAGGAGGAAGTCTAGGGTGTATGGCTTAGTTTGGGAACCCGTTGCCGCTGAATGTCCCTCAACAAGTCAACAATGCTTGGTGGATGTTTTAATGCTGAGACTTTCCGGCGGCGAAAATGGGCTCAACACACTCCTAAAAACCCTAAAAGTTCAGGGCAGGGTCCACATGGCTGCCACAATCAGTTGCCTGGCTTCAGGACTTCCTAGCAACTGCACAAAAGTCACCCCCCAATCCGGTCGGTATTGTGCCAGTGCCTTGGGATCCTTGGGTTTAGGGTTTAGGGTTGTAGGCTGTTCGTCAATTTCCGGCTGGAAACCGGTGAGCACTTTCATGGAGGAAGTTCATGGCTCCAGCTGGCCTGCTCATCAAGCCGCTGTCAACGGCTGAGGACACTTGCTCATACCCACGGCATTCACAGATAGAGCTCTTCTGAAAACACTAAATCCCCAAACCGGCTGCACAAAATGGACCAAGTCTCACTGCACTCACTTTCGCCTTGGCCACTGCATTGCGAATGTCCTGGCACATTCACGGGTGTAAGGCGTCGAAGCTCCCTGATGCTTCTTTCCTGAACAACAAAAATCTTGCATTCGGTGCACTTGTGAAATCTCAGGCTCCAGCTTTTTCAGAGGCGATAGCTCGGAATCGGGTCGTGTTACGGGACAGGTGCCGTAAGGACACGGGGAGGTTTGCAGCTCAGCATCGTCCACGGACACTTGTGCCAATGGCGGCTACAAACCAGATCGGAGCTTCAAAACTTTGCACAGGGAGAAGCGCTTTGAGGCATCCAAAATTTGGACTGGTCACACTGACAGCAAACCCTAAACCCTAAGATGAATGCCGTTTGACCACCTCACCACATCTGACTTCGCCGACCCTGAACTCCGAGCCGAAAAACCCGAAACCCTAAAACTCTCAAAGACCTAAACCCTAAACCCTAAACCCTAAACCCGAAACCCTAAAACTCTCAAAGACCTAAAGCCCCAAACCCCAAACCCCGATCCTCCCCCACGACTCAGCCTCCCAAGCTCTGAAGGGAGAGTTCGAGTTACCGCAGCTGTCTCCCAGCTTTCGCGGATACTGCTTCTGATCTTGTGGGGGCATTGGGTTTAGGGTTTAGGGTTTAGACGTGAGGGTCAGGTCCGGTATTTGCAGTCACTCGTGCCACCTACTGAAGTCTACAACGCTAGATGATACTTTTTGCTCACCATAGAAGATTCCAGGGTTCGGATGCCATCCGGCTCTTGCTGACTGCTCCTCCTCGCCTGCATGCTCACGTCGGTGAGGCTCAGACTGTAACAGGAAAGGTCCGTCACGGGCCTGTTGGAACTGGCGCCAGCTGTGCCCCAAAGCGAACCCTGAACCCTAAACCCTCAACCCTAACTCCCTAAACCCTAACTCCCTCAACCCTCAACCCTAACTCCCTCAACCCTAAACCCTCAACCGTAATTGATGAGTTGCACGCCCAGCAGGCTGCACAGGGGTACAGATAAGGGGGATAGATCAGGCCCCCTGCCTCACACCTATGCAAACCTGCCATGGCAGGTAAACGCGCGGAGTTTCTGTTAGCACAAGCAGGCAGAAACCCTAAGCCCTAGAATCCTGAATCCTAAACCCTAAAAGCCTAGTCCTAAACCCAAATCCTAAACGTCCTAAACCCTCTATCCTAAACCCTAAAAGAGTCTTGGTGAGTGGTGCTAGAGCCTAGAGCTCCGCGACAGGCGGGCCTGGCCATCGTCAGCCCTCAACCCTAAACCCTCAACCTCAACCCTAAGCCTGCCTAAACCCCTAAACCCCTGAACCCCTAAACCCCTAAACCCTAAACCCTGGTACAGACGCACGCATCCCTTGAGGAGTTAGGACTGAGGATTTGGGGGGGCGGGCAAGATGTCCTCAGATTTTTGGGCCTGGGACTTGGGCGCAGGCTTTCGGGGCAGAGGGTTCGGGATTTAGGATTTAGGGGTTTAGGACGTTTAGGATTTGCGTTTAGGATTTGGGTTTAGGACTGAGGGTTTATTAGGGATTCTAGGGCTCAGGGTTTAGGGTTTAGGAAAGTTTAGGATATAGGGAACCCTAAACCCTAAACCGTAGGGTTTTGGATTTGGGATGAAGGGTTCATGGATTTCGGGTCTAGGACTTGAGGTCTCTCCTATTTGGGAGCTCGGACATTATATTCTTTAGCATCTAGGGTAGTTGTCTAAATCAGGGTTGATTTTAGGGTCCTTATTCTAAGGGGTGGAAGGTTTTAGGGTTTTATAGGGTTTAGGGTGTAAGGTGTGTCACATATATTCTTTAGCATAGGGTTAGGATTCGAGGGGCCTAGCATGCGGGCCGCCTACTCCCAAGGGCCTTCGGTTTAGGATTCTAGGGCTTAGGATTCTAGAACTTCGGATTCCAGGGCTTAGGATTCTAGGGCTTAGGATTCTAGGGTTTAGGATTCTGAGAGGGCCCTCGCCCAAGATCAAACATGTTTTTCAAACCAAGGCACAAGGTTGAGACCAAGGTGGGGAGGGCCTCCAAACTCCCAAAGAAGACTATATAATGAGAATTCTCAACCCCCAAAATCATAGATTGGATGGGCGGGTTGGGAGGGAACGTGAACCTTGGCAGACACCGCAACACACGTCCCGCATGTGGTGTGCGCACAGCATGTGACACACCCTACACCCTTTCTTCCCTCTTAAACCCTATAGAACCTACCACCTCCAGACTCGATACAGCTGGCACCCTCGTTCCTTGCCTGAAAAGCCCCCTGCTTGGCAGGAGCCCTTTTGCGAGAGGCTTCAATTTCACGGGCGCGCCTTTGGCCGATGGAAGTCGCGAAACGGGAGCGAACGTGACACCGTGTTCGGCCTGCTGATGCTCCCTGCACATCCCAGACACTCTCCCCTCGCTCCTTCATCCTCTGCCCGGCTCAGCTCAGCTCGCATCTGCGGCCATGTTGGACGTAAAAGGGTCTGCCGGCTTCAGGTGCTTCATATTCAGAACTCCTGCCCTACATCTCCGAACATGCCTGCCGGGGAGACAAGAGCATCTTTAAGATTTAGGGTTTAGGGCTTAGGGTGTAGGGTTCAGGAGGATCTTTGACGGTCACCCTGCATCCCAATGCTTTGCAAGACGTCCAAGACATGGCGATGCGAGGTGAAACTGGGTTTAGGGTTCAGGGTTTAGGGTTTAGGGCACGATGGCAGGCAGTAGCCTTCTCATGCCACCTCCCAAGAGATCTGGAAGGTCAAATGAAAAAGGTGTCATCTTCGAAAGAGATGGGTGCCTCGACCTCTTGGAGGAAGTCCTCTGCTGTCTTCCCACGACCATTCCGGATATCCAAGCGAGCTCCGGCCTGCAACAGAACCTTGGTGCACGCAAACTTCCCTGCCAAGATGCTGAACATCAAGGGAGTTGCACCATGATGATGGTGGGCCAAGCAGGTTAGGCTCGATTTGCTGAAATGGTGACGTGCGGACAGGATCTTGATGAAGATCCACCACTGCGTTCGAGAAAAGGGAACCTGCAGCTGCTCGTTGATGTCTGCCTCGGCTTCGATCAAAGAAGAGACCATCCGATCATCTCCATCGAAGAGCAGCGCGGTGTGCAGGCAATACCTTAGGCTGAAGCTTGGGTAGTGGTGGAGCAACTCCTTCACTGCGTCGGGACCATTTTGAGCGCAGGCAACCTTCAATGCACTGAGTCCAGGAGGCAGCTTGATCCCTATGTCAGCCTTGGCATCCTTCAGAATCTTCACAGCAGCACCATTGTCGAAGGCAGCTGCATAGTGGAGGGGAGTGCCGCCGTATCCACAGCGAGCATTCACCTGGGCGCGAGCAGCAAGCAAGACCTGCATGACCTTGTTGTTCTTGAACGCCGCAGCAATCGCGAGCACCGGCAGGTTCCTCGGCAAATCCGCCTTCTTCTTGGTGAGGCGGTCGTTGGCATCGGCTTTTTGTTTCAGAAGGGCGCCGACCAGGAAGGCATCACCATTGGTGGCGGCATAGCACAGGGGCGACCATCCGTTTTCACGTTGCCGCAACGCCTTGAAGAGGCTGTCGTGCAAGAAGCGTGCCACCACAAAGCCCTCCGGATCACTGGATGGGTCCACGTGGGTCGAAAACCCCGGGACGAGGCCTTCCATCCTCCATGACTCCAGGCCCTCCAGGTGCATATGGTGCACGTGCCACAAAAACCGGAAGTTATGGGGGTCGTTCTCCAGAAGTTGTTGCAACTTGCTCCAGAGCATCTGCTGGAGAACCACTGCAACACGGGACCTGTCCTCCTGAAAGGTAAAGTCCCCGACCCCCGGGGCCTTTCCCTTGCCGAAGTGGTTCCACGCCAAGCTTGGGAAACTCGGATCCCTGAGGACGATGACGTAGCCGTCATCACGCGTCAACTCGCGAGCCGCGAGCTCCATCCGACACCATCCGCGGCTTTCCCAGCTGCCATAGCTCAATGTGGTGCCATTCTCATGGGAGACTTCCGGGCATAAGATCACGAAGAAGAAGCTGCGCTCCACGTATCTTGGTATGGTGCTAATCGCGAGCTCCCGATTCTTGATGGCCTCGGGATCTTGTCCTTGAGGTATTGACCAGTAGTCATACCAAATGTACAAAGGCTGTGATTGAAAGTCTTCCGTGCTGGGAACATGACCTCTGCCGATATACATCTCAATAGCCGGCGACATGCACACCTGGGTTCTTGTCAAGGGATTTGATTTAAGTTGCCATAATAAGGAAACCATATTATTTACTATAGATCCCTATCGTGGTAACTTAAACTAAATTCCTTAACAAGAACCCAGACACAGAGGTCTTGCCGGAGATGAGATTTGTCAATGCTTTCTGCAGAACCTGGAGCTGCTCTCCCTGGGGATCTGGATGTTGAGGAGACAACCTGGGCTCTTGTTTAAGGAATTTAGCTCTAAGCTACCACAATAGGGATCTATAGTAAGTAATATG